TAGAAAATTGCGATAAAGTAATTCGGTGAATTTAGTAAATTTAGTAAATCCGAAAATTGGATTTTATTTATAAATAATTGTTGAGAGGTTATTTAAGAAGATTTAAGAAATGAGTTTAGATAATAAGAAATTTATGAGTAATTAAATTTAGTAAACCTGAATATGTAGAGAGTTTTGTTGAAGAATTGTGAATTATGATAGGATTAAAATTTGGAATTTGAGTTCAGTAGTGATTTAGATAAATGAATAAGAATTAAGTATGAATAAGAATTTGGAAGCTTTTTATAAAATTTGGAAATTTTATATTGTCAGTTATTCCGCCAAATAACGAGGGTTTTAAGTAATTAAGGAATAGAAGATAGACGCGTAATGGTCTATATTTGAGTTAAAATTTGAGAATCTAAATGCGTAATGGTCTATGATTAAATTTGGAATTAAAGATAGATGCGTAATGGTCTATGATTAAATTTGGAATTAAAGATAGACGCGTAATGGTTTATAATAGAGTTTAGGAATTAAGAAGATAGATGCGTAATGATCTATGTTTAAAAGAATTTTATGATATTTAGTTTATAAGATTTTTTTTGTAAGTGCCGGATTGAGTGGGCGTTTTCTGGAAATTTTGTATTAAGATTTTAACTGTAAAACAGTCTTGTTATTTTGTTGATTGTTAAGGTTTATTTTATTGTTGAATAAATTTTATTAACTGGATAAAATTGTCCTCAGTATTTATTTACAGCCTTGTCTCAACTTCTCACGACCCGACTTTTCTGCTCGTGCTCTTCCGGTTTCTGGGACACCGCGAAAATAATCCCAGTGGCGCCCTTTTCATAAGGAAAGGGGTGACCAATTGAACAGGGTTAACCACCCCGTAACACCCTCAACCCCCGAGAGGCCCTCGATATGATGACCAAGGTAATTACACGAACCAAGCAAGAGTCCTTGCATATCAGCAAGATGCTCTTGCTCATCCGGTCTACCCTTACCTCGACTATCACGCAGAATTTCCTTATAGAAATCTTGCAGATGTATCTACTTTCGCTTATCAAGAAAGGAGCGCACGAGGAAATCCGAGAATGGATTATTCTTATCCATTAAGGGCCCCCGAAGCATACTCTTCTCCAAAACTTTCCCAGGGAAGCCTCTTCAGCTTCAAAAACGGTGCATTTCGAAGACAATCTTGATCCAGAAGAAATTAAACTCCGTCATAAAAATGATCCGAGAATAGTCTGCAACTGTCCGTTTTTTCCAAAAGGCGAAAGTCGCCCTACACTTCCTTTAAACGAACTGGGCGCTCGCCAATCGGAGGCAATGCCGAGTACGCCCTACCAGCCTCTTCGTGGACCACTGGGTTATCAACCAAGGCAGAGTGTTCCGTACTATCAACCTCGCCATCAATCTCATCAAACCTACCCTCGGTCCATATTACAAGCTCCTATGCAAATGCACCAACCCACTCAGGAAGTACCTCAACAGCTGGCTCACCTAGAACCTCTAAGAGCAGTCACACCGTCCCTCACAGATCCTCAGAATCCACCCTCGGCAATACGGGAGCCAACTCCAGCGCAAACAACAGCGGGAGAACTGAGGATGCAGATACGGAACAACCAAGCTGTTTAACCACCGGTAAAGGACCAACTATCTACATCAAAACTCCTGACCTTCGAGATGGAAGAATACGAGCTCTTCTCGATACTGGTTCTGATTTTAATTTAATCTGCATTGACGCCTTAAGCGACGATGCCCTATGTAACAATCAAATAAAGGGATCCATAGGAGGGATTACCTCCAGCTGTATGCCTATAACCGGAACCATTACCCTGAAGATCTTCGGAGCCACTGTACTTTTCCATATCGTACCTGAAACCCTAGGAGGATATAATGCTATTTTGGGAAACGAGTTCTTTCTGAAGGAACGAGTAAACATCTCCTTTTATTGGAATACTCTTGTCCTACGTCAGCGACCGACAAAACCCATTCCCATTACCAATCCCCAAGCATCTCCGGAAAGGCGCGTATTGGCACTTGGAATAGGCCCTAAAATTTATTTCAACTGTAGCGCTTTAATTGGAGAACAACAACGATTCCTATGTTACGTCCCGGTTTCCTCACAGGTTTGTAGGTAGCCGGTATAACAACTAGAGCTGGAGATAAAGATGTTACGACCTCCAGAGTCGTAAGTAGAGGTTCTCGAATTAACTCCGAAATAACTAACTTCGGTGGATTTAATTAACAAACAACTTTATTTAACTATTTAAAATACACGTTTAATTAATATGATTTGACAACTGCCGTGAAGTACGTAATGGTATTTCGTAACCGGAATTAATAGTCTCATGACAAGTATAAATTATGAAGAGTCTTAAGTGCGTAACTTTAAGATTAAGAAGAGCCTCGAACTACCCGTGCACCCTGTTTATATGTCCTCGTCCAAGGGCCGCGCCCTAGGAGGAGTAGGGTTGCGTATCGGGCCCCGAATGTCCTGTTCTCTCGAGTTGATGTGCGTGGCGTTTCCGAGGCCCACTCGGATGACACACGCTGACTCAACTCCAGAGTCCAGGACACGCAAGCGTTCGTTATCGTTTGTTTATTTAGAACATTCCTCGAATGTTCTCGAATATACCTCGTGTACTCAACGCTAGTTGTCTTACAATGAATCATTCTAGTTTTTCCATTAACATTCTTCGAGAGAAAATGTTAATGTGAACTTAAGATTATTCTGTTTACTCAGGTGTTGGCTGAGTTTCACTTTTCTTATCATTTTCTATTTCTAATATTTTAGTATTTAATATTTAACATTTGGAATTCTTTACTTATCATTTTACATTATTATTTATAAAATAAGAATATTTATGATATTATTAGAGTTTTAAATTAGCGCGCGTATTTGCTATAGAGACATCTGCGAATGCAGGTGGGGACGTAACACCTAGTAGATACAGGAGGGGATGTATGTCTGATAAACGGGTCAGCACTCAAACCACACATCGTAATTGACACCACGAAAGCTATACAGCTCAGAGGACTTAACGACAGCGTTTTTAAAACTATTGGAACAGTTATGCTGAAATTAATGGGAATTCCTATCGAATTTCAAGTTTGTGAAAAAGATCTACCTTTCCCGGGAGTTGGCATCCGAGGAAACAACTTTTTAGAACAAGAAAAGGCAGAAATTTCATATCACTACCATTCTCTTACCCTCTTATCACACCCAACTAAGACCATTCACTCCAGCCTCGAGACCAAACACTCTTCGAAGTACATGGTCCCGCCGCGAATGAGGATGACTATCTCCATACTGATTGACAATCCAGAAGTGAAAGAGGGCTATCTACCTCGAGTCCCTCTTCCGCCCGGGATATTTCTAGGGGAATCAGTCGTGACAGTGGAAGAAGGTAGGGCCTTGTGTATGGTAACTAACATCATAAATGAGTAGTTTGAACTAAGTGTATCTCCTCAAACTCTCGAAGAATTCGATTTCTACAACCCAGACTCAGAGGGGGACGTTTCGGAGGACCACGAATCTTACCAGTCCTCTAAAATTACGAACCCCGAGGCTCGTATAGCTTATATTCTCGAGAAGGTAAAATTAAATCACCTGAATGAACTAGAGAATGAATTAGTGCGAGATCTCATTCGGCATAACCATGATGTTTTTCACCTTCCAGGCGACAAGCTAGGTTGCTCGAAAAATTTTTATTTCCGAATTGAAACAACTACTGACGAGCCTATTAGAGTAAAACAATATCGTTATCCCCCAGAGCTCCGAGAGGAGATAGCGAAACAAGTCGAGAACCTAGAAAAACAAGGCATTATACGAAGATCGAACTTACCTTATAACTCACCTCTATGGATAGTCCCAAAGAAATCAGCTGACCCCGCGGTCAAGAAGTATCGTATGGTAATAGATTATAGACAGCTGAATAAAATCAGCAGGGGGGATGCGTACCCCTTGCCCTTAATTATCGATATCCTTGATCAGTTATCAGGAGCTGAGTTCTTTAGTGTCTTCGACCTCGCCAGCGGTTTTCATCAAATTCGTATGGACCCCAGAGATGCCCATAAAACCGCTTTTTCTACCCCCAATGGGCACTGGGAGTATTGTTGCATGCCTTTCGGATACGAAAACGCGCCAGGCCAATTTCAACGGATGATGGACTCAACATTCAGTGGATTAAAGGGCACTGAGCTTTATGTTTATATCGACGATCTTGTCAGTCATGCAAAAACGCTAGACGAACATCAAGTTCGGGTCCAAAGATTATTCAACCGACTGAGGCAGGCGGGATTAACTCTTCAACCCGAAAAATGTAAATTTTTGTGCAAGGAGGTTGAATATCTAGAGCATATTATAACCAGGGAAGGAATCAAACCCGACCCTAAGTAAATAGAATCTCTTAAAAACGCTTCCATCCCTAGAAATCACACCGAAGCCCGTAAATTCATGGGCCTGGCCAATTATTATCGCCGATTCATTCGAAACTTCGCCGAAAGAGCTAAACCAATCACTGACCTAACTCGTAAAACGAAACCGTTTATTTGGAAGGAGGAATCACAAAAAGCTTTTGAGGACATAAAAACTGCCCTTTGCGAAAATTCCTTCTTACAATACCCTAACTTTAATCTTCCTTTCATCTTGGCCACAAGTGCCTCTGACACCGGCATATCTGGAATTTTAAGTCAAGAAATACCAGCCTCTGGTGATTCGACTCCGACTAACGGCGAACCTGTCGAAAAGATCGTGGCATGTGTATCCCGGGTTTATCACGATACGGAAACCAGATACACAGACATAGAAAAACAATGCTTAGCGATAGTATACGCGATTCAACAATTTAGACCTCATTTATACAGCAGAAAATTTACCCTAATTACGAGCACCCCGTGCATAGCTTGGCTCATAGATAGTGTAAACATTACCGAAAGACAAGCTAAATGGCGGTCTAAAATAAACGAATACAAATTTAATGCGGTAATTCGTCGTAAACTTATGGAGCAATATGGAAGGACTTGCTTACAATCCTGCAGGCCGCCCTAATCCTCCGAACGAGTCCGACCAAATCGCGTTTCCCTTCTCCCTGCCTAAAAAGACCGTTTCGAAGTCCAAGATAAACGATGAAGAAGCATTAAAAGCAGTAAAACGATCGGGCCGTCCCCCAGGCACGAAAAATAAACCTAGAATTAATAGCGCCCCGAAAAGATTGGAGACTATCGCTTCCCGACTTATACAACGAGATAAAGGTGATACCCGGGTACCACCTAAGGTCGACTATAAAGAACTTGAGTCCAGCTAAATTGATCTAGACCAATCATAGCAGGTAAATACGAGGGAACAGGGGGACGACGAAGTCTTCTTACCGGACCCCACATCAAGTCCCATCGCGAGTAACCAGACTCCGGACATCGGCCAAGAAGGGGACGATGAAGCCGAGAATGACGCTGAAACAACCATTCCGCCGAAACAACGACGGAAAACTCTCGAACTCGTCAAAATGTTCGACGAGCTCATTCAAAAACGACCTTCATCTGAAAATACTTACCGAACGAGGGCTCTCGACAGACTCCGCCAGGAGGAGGCGATATACAATTACTTTCCCCAAGAGTTGGCCGAAATGAGACGCGCCAGTTCCGAAACGGCGAAGGAAATTCACAAATCCTTAAGTAAACTTCCCCCCCTCTTCTCAAGGGAGGAACAATCATCAGACAAAGGATCTACAGCTGAAGATACTATCGAGGAATTTCTTAGAGCCAACAGTGAAAAATCCGGGGATGAATCAAGCAGTGATATCAGCCCAGAAGAGACAGAAAAAAATAATAATGTCGAGGAGGCTGAAGTTCCCATCACAATAGAACCAGTGACTCCAAATTAACCCGATTCCTCCCGGCTGACCGATTATTTCAGGCCAGGATACGAACCTTTAACGCCTCTATTCGGAAGGTTGTTGGTACCTGATAATCTTGCTGCAATGGGAATAAAATACGACCATTGAGTCAAAGATATCATCGATACCCTAGACTGTAGTACTCTGAACCAAGGTGAAACTACTCAAGAACCTAGGGCGTCCACCAGCCAAACTTTAGATTCAGCCGATATCCCAGTAGGGAGCTCCACACACAGAGAAACCTTGACCTCTAATGTGGATGAAAGTCAAGTACCGCATAACTCAAATACCGTAACCCAATCGAGTAGCAACTCTAATTCGCCAAGCTCAGAGTCAACTATAAAATCAGTACGGAATAATTATGAATCTGAGGGACTCGAAAACCAAAATAATATAATCACCAAAGAAAATCAGGAAGATAAGGATGAGGACCAAAAGGAAAAACCAACCTCCGGACGCACTTTGCCTCCAATCCGAATTTAGGATCCACCAACTTATGAACAAGTTGACGATTTATTAGCCGAAAATTACTACCCGACAATAAATTCCTCATCTTCCTCTTCATATACCGAAACCCTTCCCAAAGAATCAAAGGTCTCTGTAAAATTCGAAACGAGTCACGACGGTCTCACTTACGTGAGAGATCACTAAGTACACTTCCTAGCCGCTGACTGCGAACTCGTCAAACCGGTCTCTAGATTGCTGCGAGATTTAGAATTTATTAATCGTGAGGATCTTCTTGCAGCTAACCCTAAAAAGAGTGATGTATAAGTCACTAAATTAGGACGCTGTAAAATCTTCTCAGTTATTTTAAAAGATCATCACTTCGAGAAAACAACCCCTTTAGAGTTAGTCCAAGGATTGCGCCATCTACGATTAACGATGTACAATCATCAAATTTACTCCTTCCGCTGCGCGAAGCAGGAGGATGAATTCGACGATTTAGACATACATAAATATATGAGCCAGGAACTAAGTGACTGTCCTGCAACAATTACTCTGTGCGAGGGAAACGTGGAAGTACCCGACGAATCCATACGAGCACAGATTATTGAAGAGAGTCACAGCAGCCTTGTGGGTGGCCATAAATGCGTTGTAAAAACCTATTGGCGAATTCGGGAAAAATTTTACTAACCCGAAATGAAACAACAAATTTACGCATTTATCCAAAGATGCGAGATTTGCCAGAAAAATAAATTGACCCGAATAAAAACGAAGCAACCGATGGCTATCACCGATACACCACTCGAACCTTTTGAGAAAATCAGTATCGATACCGTAGGTCCCTTATCTATGACGTCAGACGGAAATGTCCACATTTTGACTATTCAGGATAATTTTTCGAAGGCCACAGCCGCCGTTCCTCTTCCAGATATTAGAGCTGCCACCGTAGCTGATGCGTTATTAAATCATTATATTGCCATCTATGGATATCCGCGAGTTATACTTTCAGATAAAGGCACCTCTTTTACGAGTAAATTAATCCAACAACTCGCGAAAACTCTAAAAATTCAGAGATTGACCACTTCTTATTATCCGCAGGGAAACGCTTCCCTAGAACGGTCACATCAGCCCCTAGTTGATTATTTAAGAGCCTACGTCGATCAATTTCAGGATTGGGATCGCTATGTGCCTCTAGCAATGCTAAACTATATCACTACCGTTCACAGCGCGACAAAATTCACTCCTTATGAAGTTTTGTACGGACGGAAAGCACGCACCCTGACTCAATTCCCGGACTTTACGAAAATAGAAACTTATAGCGATTATCTAGCCGATTTAATTAGCCGCTTGTCTGAGATTCAGCGAATATCGGCGGAAAACCTGATAAAAGCCAAACACGAATCGAAAGAATGATTCGATAAACACATCCATCCAGTAAAATTTAAAGTAGGAGACTCAATTTAGGCCCTCAAAGAGCCCCGTAAAAATAAATTAGATCTCTTTTACACAGGTCCTTATAAAATAGTCGAAATTAACGATTTTGGGGGGCTCATTATAGAAAAAGACCGAGGGAAAAGAAAAACGCTTCACCCTAATAAAGCTAAACTTGCCAGTCTCGAACAACAACCTAAAGACGATTTCTAGCTTTCTGTTACAGATTCAAACGTGTTAGCCAAAATGAGATTCCTCCTCATTTTAATTTTCGGAAGTGGGTGTGTGAGTTCAAACAACTACAGCGGAGACGGTCAACCATCCATAGGCAAAGTCACAACCAAATCCATGACGTCCAATCCAGGGCTGTTGTACGATCCTTTTAAGAAGGTTCATCTAATTGAAGAGGAATGGAAAATCATCAGCTACATCAATATCAATAAATTGATTAACATGAATTCCTACAATGACCAACAGTACGAGGCTACTTTGAACCATTGCGAAAGATATTTCTCGATAGAAGATTGCCGCTTGTATCTCAAGGTACAATTATTTCAAGAAATTTACGGGGAACTTCAAAATGCAATCCATCGCCTGAGTCAACTATTAGACGAAACACAAGAAAAGACCAATAATCCAAGAAACCGAGTCCGGAGAGCCCCTTGGTTCGGAATTGTAGGAAAAGTTGCCCGCGAATTGTTTGGGACCATGGACTACAGCGATTACGAGCATATCAACCGAGAATTAAATAAACTCTATTAAGACAATCGTGAACTGGTACACTTAACTCAAAACAACACCCATATAATTCAAAGCGAAATTAATCAGATCCTTCGCCATGAGAACGGTATATCCAGAAGAATCGAGACGTTGAGTCAGGAAACTGACAAGATAAAACACTCCATGACCATGGAATTCCAAAACATCCGAAGAATTCACATGTTTTGTCTCATAGGAGAGGAGGTAAATTAGTTACTCTCGCGTCAACTAAAAGCATTGACGCTGAAAGAACAATCGAAGAGGCCAAGATGGGAAGCGCGTCATATTTGAGCATCTCCGCAAAACCACTGCACCAAGCCACCTTAGATATGATGGAAAAACACCCACATCTCAATTCGCCTCAACCTCTTGATCGGATGGATGTACCAGCTTTCTCCCTAGTATCAAAAATAGAAACGGGAAGAACAAAAGGGTTCTTTATAATCATAATCACCGTACCCTTATTCAACAAGGTGCCTTGGTACAGTTACGAACTGAAATCATTCTCAAAGCCACAACGATTAGGAGAGAAGTTGTCAACTCTAACGATATTACCATCCAAGAAGTACTTAATATCGGAACCAGACTTCAATGGGTATTTTCTCGCCGAACGAGACTTTATAAAAAACTGCAAACCTATTGGAAAAGACATCGCCTGCAAACCGGAAACGCCTGTTAAATCAACCATCAATAAGGACTCAATTGACTGTGAAATGAAGTTATTGATGAATCCAGACGAGAATGTACTCCGTGAATGCAATGTAAGAGTAATACCAAAATGCACGCAGAGCGGGATAAAAATGAACGAGCAAGATACATGGGCCTACTCGACATGTAAGGAGGAAAAATTAGTATGCTCGTGTCGACAGCAATCTCTTAAGACCACAGTAATCAATGGCACTGGTTTAATTCACTTACAACTAGGCTGTCACGCTAGCTGCAATGAATATGCCTTACACGGAGTAAATCATGAACAAACGAGGATTGATTATTTAATACCAACGATTAACTTAACTATACAGTCTCTGAACTCAAGTCTCTCTACGATCCACCAAACCCCGGATCTGCTCTTGAAAAACAGTAAAGATGCATCTGCAGTAGTCAACGAGTTCGCACCATGGGGACAAGGATTATCAGAGAACGAGGAAAGAATGTCAATCATTGCTCTCGATCACCAAGAGGATGATTTACACCGAAAAATAACTGCTGGATCCATAGTAGGCACACTAGGAGTAACTTTCATAATCTACGCCATCTGCGGATGGAAAATCCTTTCTTAATACTATCCAGGATGCAGAAGAAGTAGAAACAACAACTTAGAGGAAGGAAAAGTTCACTACGATGTGCACACCATAATGACTCCTATAACATAAAAGAAGTTAGAATCCCAAGTCGAATCTTCATCCACCCATTCGAAGTCTCCAACGACAGCCAAGGTCACGTTCATAGATCCAGAAACGCCATCAACGTCAGGTCCAAAGCCTTTCCAACTGTGCAAGCTCCAGTCTCCGTGAGATATCCACAGCAGCAAATAAATAACCTAGTTAAGTCTAAAAATAGCTACATTACTTAAAAAGTTGATGATTCGTTCTTTGAGAACTAATTACCAACTTAAAAATATAAAGTATATGAACATAATTAAATAATAAGTTAATTAATAATTTCTTAGAATTTAGAGTTCGTATCAGTAAATTTGCAAGACGAATTTCTGTACCTCACGTCGCAAATGGAAAATTTTCGCTTTTTGCTCATATTCAGAGCTTCCTAGATCTCTCAGTTTGAGCTAAATTTTTTTTTATTACTAAATATTAACTTCAGTAGTGACCCCTTAATGAAGTATAATCTCGGTCTTAAGAAATCATATGCAAGCTGGTAAATATCCACCTGCAAATGAAGACCCATTTCGTCAAAAAAAAATAAAAAGTAAAAAAGGTAAGAGAATGCCAATGATAATGAAACCAAACTAAAATATCTAATTACCGAATAGTATTATTCCAGCAAAGCTAGGAATAAGATAATTGATGAACCTCGTCCGTAAAGGCTCATATAGGTAGTATCGAATTTTTCCATGGTAAAAATCATCGATAACTACGGTATATGAGGAGCCTAAACTCCAGACACATCGGTTTTACTCGTGGCACCTCTTACGCTCTCAATCTGACGAACCAGCTTCCTAAACGGATTCCTTCAGAATCTCGATATAAGGCTAAGCTTAGGGAGAAATTATTGACTTTTTCTTGTTACAATTAATCATCAGGACCAATTTAAGAAAATCAGAAAAGCAAATCCAAACTGAGAAATTTAGGGTCCCTCTGATTATATTTATATTAACTTTAAATCTCTCCAGGAGACGCGAATCCAAAGAAAATTGAAATATTCAATTCTTCATTTATAATGCTGGGGATAGTGCTGTCTTGCATCATCAAGAGCAGAAATTCTCAAATTTCCACTCTTGGGGGGACGAGACGGGACAGCACAATAAAATACCGAAAGGTTGCACACTAAAATTTTCTTTCTTTTTTTTTTTAGTATTTATATAATTTCATATACACAATATTTTTTTTTCTCTGTCCTCTCATTCAACATTCAATACTAGGATATAATCCACACATGAGTAGTATAGCTATAGCAATATCAGCTGACGAGTGTCGCAATTATGAAAAGTTCATTAAACCGCCTTGCTTGTCAAACGAGAAGGAGTTACATGAAGAGTCTCTCGGTAACGCCGATTAAATAATACTAGTGATCGCGAGATCTAGTACCTATCAATCGGTGAATAAATCATCTTACCATCCATGGAGACTCGGTAATTGAGAACGTTAATCGCGAACAATATCCGAGCATTTTTGTTTATTATCCTTTATCAAGAACGAGATAATACTCTTAACGAAGTGCTCAATTACCAACCTTGATTAAATTGACAATACTCTACTTTAAACGCAATTTCTGCGCCACAAAAATAGACAGGTAACTCTCCATGTAATTCGGTTCACTGCATTACTCAACCGTAAGAAAAACCGAACTATAAACTTCATGTAATCGTAAATTTACAACCACTAATTAATGCAGTAATTTAATATAAATTGGAAGATAAATTGATAGAATGTTATAATATTGATAAATGTAGTAACGTAAAAATAATTCAGAAATTTTATTTACGAAATGATTGTAAGTGGTAATCGCTCATAGCGGAGGTAGACATAAGAAAAGCAAGAAGGTCTATAACCTTCTTACTTTTCGGGGGGATGTTATGTCCACCCAAGTTAAATTTTTTTTATTTTCCCGGGCTTGATGGAAGATCCTTCTATGCGCGATAACCACATTAAAGTTAGGACGGACGCGCCTGCCGGCTGACCTGCGGGGATTTCTGCAAGTGAAGCAGCGCGAGGTTTTAAAAAGCATGGCTCACGCCGTTGATCGCCTTTAAATTAATTTGACTTCAGCGTTTGATTTAACTTGGCCCGTGTTCTATAGAGTCCTTTGCTTCAATTTGCACCGCACTTGAAGGAAGTTTGGACGCGGGTTACCGTCAGACGCGCCTAGCCAATATTAAAATTAAACATTGATTGTTAAAGAATCTTTAGTTTAATCTGCTCTGCATTTAAGCTAACTTGGTTGTTTCGATTAATATTAGATAAGTAAATCTTCTATTTGGCGAGTCACGCACTTTTCCATGCGAGGAACTGGTTGGACGTTAGCCGCAAATAATAATAATGTTTTTCGTTATTAGTTTATACGACGTAAAAATAATTATAATAAATAAGTGATAAAACTCTTGTGACTGTGTAACATCTTTATTTGCTGCTGTTTAAATAAATCGTCACGTAAATAAATCTCGGGTCATTCCTTATTGAAAAACAGCCCTTTTTCATCAACTCCCGGTTCCCAAACTCTATACATCGAGACTTGAGAGCGCTCTTCAGCTGCCCAAAGAGGACCAGTAGCAGTAAGAAACAAATCAACAAGTAGTAAGTAATTATTTAAATATTCTGAAAATTAATATTGAATCATATTCTCTGGTAAAATACTTAATCTTTAACGGAGGCATGGGGTTTTGTCTTTCGGAAACTCCCACAGAAATAATTAAACATCGAGAATTAAACCCTTTCGTTGTGTATTCATTAATTTGTTTGTCCAACCCTCCACCGTTACCTTGCTACCGTATAATAACAATTTTGGACATAACATCTCTAAAGATTAATAATGCTATATTGGAAAACTTAGATCCAAATGATCTTTTATCGATCTTTAAATCAAATGTGCTTTCTTCTCTGGACCAACATGCACCAATCCTCACAAGAACGATTTCTCGATGCAGTAATCCTTGGTTCACCAAAGAACTAAAAAATAATTGCAAAGAACGTAATGAACTTTACACACGAGCTCAAAGAAACCTTGATCCAACCTTACTTTCGCTGTATAAAATCCAACGCAAATTTCTTAAGACTGAATTAGCCCGAAGGCAAGAATCGTACTTGAAGACTGCTCTATCCAACTTGCCTCAAGGTTCTTTCGTCTGGAGTAAACTTAAACATCTAGGACTCACCATATCAAATACTTCGTCACCCCTAAACTTCTTTGATGCACTGGAATTAAATGAGTACTATGCAAATATAGTCAGGAAGCATCCAGCTGCAAATATTGAGTTCTTAGATAGTTCACCAACCATTTTTCAACGCCAAGTGTTCATTTCAGTGGCAGAAGATTGACATCGTTGATGTCACAAAGGCTAAAAGATCATCTTCCTCAAATATCACTGTTTCTTACTGCTCTTTTCAACAGATCTCTTGACACCGGCATCTTTCCTGAGATTTGGAAAACGATTTACATCATACCACTGAACAAGATAGCCTTACCCAGATCACCATCTGATACAAGACCATTAGCAAACGTGTCCTACTTAGCGAAAGATTTTGAGAAAATAGTTGCAAACCCGCTGGTAGCTTACTTTGAAGACAATCTTTTGCCTGATAGGTTTCAATCGGGATTTCGGAAGCATCGTAGTACGCAATCAGCATTGCTAAAACTTACTGACGACGTCAGAGCAGCAATGGACAAAAATCAACTTACCATTCTAATGCTGTTTGATCTGAGTAAAGCCTTTGACGACGTGGATCCCAAAGTTATTCTACCTCTTTACATGAGTTGGGATTCTCATCAGAATTAATAAGTTGGTTCTTTTCCTATCTATCAAACCGTTCTCAATCAATTTTAAATGAGCATGGAATTCCAATTGAGTTACTAAAAACCTCATCGGGTGTTCCTCAAGGCTCTGTACTTGGGCCAATATTGTTTTTAATTGTCATCAACTCTGTGGCCAGGTGGATAATCTTATGCAAATAAGGTCTCTTTGCTGATGACATGTACATCTACCATCATTGTCTTGCTTACCAGCTCCATGACGCAGTTCAGCAAGTTACTACTGACTCACAAGCAATTGCAGACTGGGCTCGGTCTCACGGCTTAATGATTAACTTTACTAAAACTACAGCGATGATCTGGGGATCAAATGACAAGTTGAAACAACTTCAGTCCCTGGAGGTTCCTCCTATTCTAGTTGATTATCCAGTAATCCCCTACGTAAATTCTACAAAGTGTTTGGGACTTATTATTGATCAAAACTTATCCTGGAATAGCCACATTTTACAGACAACCAGAATAGTAAATTTTGCAGTCCATAGTCTCAAGGTCCGGAAAAACATCTATTCTACTGAGATGAGAAAGCTCGTAGTTACTGCTACCATCCTACTACTCATTGATTACTGCTCTATTGTGCTCTTTGATTCTACTGCTGAAAATTATTATTATTATTATTATTATTATTATTATTATTATTATTATTATTATTATTATTATTATTATTATTATTATTATTATTATTATTATGTACTTATGTACTTATGTACTTATGTTAAAAAGCATTTAAAATATAAACTTCTACTAAGCAGTGATAAGATGATTGATAAGACGTGGATTAATGTTGTAGAAGTTGAAAATGAAATCGGCAAACATATTTTTGGTAACATCTATCGATCACCAAATAGCAATATTAAGGCATTTTGTGATAAGTTCATTGATTATGCGAGTAAAATTGGAGATGTAGGCAAATTAGTTCTCGTTGGTGATTTCAATATTGACGTAAGCAAAAATAAGTATTATTCAAAGAGATTAATTGACGAAATGGCTTTTCTAGGATACACACAGATAATACAGATGGCTACAAGATCCACTTTCGTGTCAGATACGATAATCGATTTAGTTTTTACTAACATAGACATTAAAACAAACGTAATAAATTCACCTAAAATTTCAGATCATAATATAATTAAAGTTGTCATTAATAATAGAATAGAGGAATATAATAATCAAATAAAAATATGCAGATATTTCAAATCATTTAATGACATTAAATACAAAGAAAAATTATTTGAAAAATTTAATTTATTTAATCTAAAACTCGATGCCTGTAACGAAATGGAATCTAATGAGTTAACTAGTGTTATGATAGAGACAATAAGAAATACTTTAGATGAAATAGCACCTTGGAGTAAAAAGAAAATTAATAACAAACATAGGAACAAGCCATGGATAAATAAATCAATTGTTGAGTTAATCAAAAGACGAGACGCGGCTTTTATTGAAGCTAAAAAAACTAGTAAAGTAGAACATAAATGTAAATACAAAGAACTGAGAAATAAAGTAGTAAAAAGTATCAGAAAAAATAAAAGAGAGTACTATGAAAATGTGATAGATTCAAATAAACAAAACTCAAAAGAGATGTGGAAAAAATTAAAAGAGCTTACAGGGGATAAAAAACAAAAATCATTAAATTTAAAGGAAATTAAATATAATAGTGACATCATAAGTGATAATCTAACAATTGCTAATAAATTAAATGATTATTTTATTGAAAGTATCAACGAATTAGTCAATAATATAGGATATGATAACGACTTAGATGATTATTTTCTACTATCTGATTCCAATAATAATAATCGATGGGAAAAATTTGATGAAATTACATTTTTAAAGATGAATAAAATTATAAATAATATGGATGAAAATAAACGTGATAAAAATGACATTAATACTCACATTTTAAAATTAACATGGCAAACTCGACCTGATATAATACTGGCAGTGATTAATAATTCTCTAAAATTAGGTATTGTACCGGAAGAATGGAAAATTTCTACTACAATACCAATCCAGAAAGTAAAAAATAGTATCAATGTAGAAGACTTAAGACCTATCAATACTCCTCCTAGTTATGAGAAAATTCTTGAAGAAGTTGTGAAAACTCAACTAGAAAATTTCATCGAGGATAATAGTATTCTCAGTCAAGATCAATCTGGGTTCAGAAAATCTCATTCATGTGAGACAACGCTACAAAATTCAATCATTGACTGGCGAAATGAATTGGACAAAGGATTGTTTGTGGGAATTGTTTATCTAGACTTCGCAAGAGCATTCGAGACTATAAATAGGAAAAGGCTGATTGAAAAAATGAAATCGTTAGGTATTACGGGTGTAGTTTTAAAATGGTTTGAATCGTATCTCTTTGATAGAAAACAAAGAGTAAAATTTAAGAATGTTGTTTCAAATGATAAAGAGACTATTCATGGAGTACCACAGGGATCGAAGCTAGGACCTTTATTATTTATATTGTTTATAAATGATATTATAGAAATAGTTGAAAAAAGAGATATTAAATGTAAACTTTTTGCTGACGATACAATTTTATATACAAATTGTGACAATTTAAAAGAAATAGAAATTAAACTAAATGACGCATTATTTGATCTACATTCATGGTTAAAGTGTAATCAATTAAAGTTAAATGTAAAAAAAACTGTTTATTCTATCTTGCATAATAAACAAATAAAAAACGTTAGAGATAAGTGTAGAATTAAGATTAACGATCAAAAAATTGAATATGCCTCTGTAACTTAATATTTAGGAGTGATGGTAGACGATCAATTAACATTTAAAGAAAATGCCATGTATGTATCTCGCAAAGTAACGAAAAAAATTAATTTGTTATATAGACTTAAAAACACAGTATCCAGTTATACTAAAAATATAATTTATAAATCGATCATTGCTCCAAATTTTGAATATTGTAAGACCGTCATGCTTAACTATTCACAATCAAGCATGGCGATGCTTCAAAAATCGCAGAATCGCGCAATGAGAATAATACTAGGAGTTAATAGATACACAGAAATAAGTAAAATGCTAGATACGTTGGGATATATGTCAATTAATCAGAGACTAGTTTATAACTGTTGTATCTTAATCCATAAGATGCTGAGCAATTTGACTCCTAGCTATCTAAGTGATCGTATTCATAATAACAGTAGTAAGCACGGATATAATACACGAAATAAAAATTTAATAAAAATTAGAAGTACTAACACACATACAGGGGAAAAATCAATAATATATAGAGGTTACACATGGTATAATGATTTACCTAACGATATTAGAGAGGAAGATAGAATTAAGATTTTTAAAAGACGATTAAAAGAATATATAAAATTGTACATAGAAATATAGAATAGCGATAATTGTTATATATGTTTAAGATTTTAAAATTATATATAGATATTTAGAATAATCATAATTGTTACATATTTTTAAGACTATATAAGACTGTCAGATATTTGTAAAAGTGCATATGAGTAGCAAAAAAGCTAAATAATAAACATTACATTACATTACATTACATTATTATTATTATTATTATTATTATTATTATTATTATTATTATTATTATTATTATTATTATTATTGTTGCTGTTGTTATTGTTATTACATATTTTTTCCAAACAGTTTAATCTTTTTGGTACAAGGTTCATTTGCACTTATTTGTGGTCCTCTTTTTTTTTTTTTCCTTGAAGTTTGACGCTTTCCTCAACTACTCTATTCACCTCCTCAGATAAGGGAGCCGTTCCTTTTTCTTTTGACTCATCTTCCAGAGTTATCACTGAAACTGGTGTAATGACCGATGTCTCCTCTTCTTCACCCAATGTAACTATTTGTATAGATGTAATGCCTGAATTCTCCTCCATCACCTCTGCATCTAAGTCGTTAATTTCTTGGGTTTCACTCAAATCTGAAATTATAAAATGAAACAATAAATATGTAAATATATACATAAAATCTAATAGGAAAATAGTATAAAATATTATACATACCGACTCCTCTAATGAAGAAGGCCTCTAAAATACGGTAAATCAATTCTATTGATTTCTCCAGGATGAAGTCTGAAAGTCCTCCTTGTCCTGAAAAATAAAAAAACAGTTTATTACAAATTCAAAAATATTATAATTAGCATCAAAATTTTGATAATTACCTTGATGATTATATTGCATGATAAATGGTTGGATATTGATTTTCTGCTCCTCTGAATAATTATTATTTATTGTTAAGACAATGTTTGCGACTGCCTCCTTTAAATAATCCTGTACATTTTCAGGTAGAGCGTGAGCTGTATCTTCTCTGATGACTTCTTCGGCTAACGCGAGATCTGAAGTGAAGGACTTCTCTCCAGGAATTATTTGGGTGGATGTAGATAAGGGGCACTCGAGGACTCTGCGTGTCCAGTCATCCACACTAACTATAATTTCACTACCACTCATTCCACAGTCAAAACTATCATTATCAATATTATTGCTTAATTCACAAACAATCGCATCATGCGCGTTTGAAAAAAGCTCGTCACTAGCCTCTTCCCAGCTATTTTCCATTTTTTTTTTTTTTTATAATAAAACACAAAACTCAAAAGGACTTTATACTCAACAAGGAAGATTGAGAATGAGGTCGTTTTCCCAAAACAGTAAAAATTTCGTAAGCATCTTCTCTACATCTTAGTTTTGGTCATTATATGGTATTTTTGTCTCAGCATAGTATAACGTAGGAGGATAATAAGGAAAATAGTCTAGTCCACACCCCCAAAACTTGTCTTTCCATACATCCTTCACCATCATTGGGTGTTCAACTATCCCAAAGTCTAGAGTAGAAGACCTTTTCATCTCAATGATTTTTGTAGTGGGGTTGAATTGCATCAGAAAACTAAGATGATTCAAATCTATGGTTTTTGGTAATTTGTCACAATGAGTCAAAATAAAAGCACATGTTAAACTACGTAGTGATGGGGGGTCTTGTCTCACTTTCCAGGATTTCTGCTGATAATAGTTTTCTCCTAGTCCCGATGGTATACATAATTGCGGAATTTCAATAGATTTCTCAAAGTGCCTCGATTCATCATCTACTAAAGCTTAAAACTTCCAATTTTTAATGTGCACTCCTAACTTGCCTGATTTACATAATTTGCACTGATTTTTCTCACTTGAGGTTTTTTGAATATGTATTTTCACAATGGTAAACTTGTACACTGCTGTATTTATTTTCAACTTCCGCGCAATTATCCTACGTCTACGCTCTGTTAGCACATCTTTTAGGTTTTTACCACATAATGGCTTTAAATTATAACCTTGGAAAGACATTTTCAGATAACAACAAGAATATAACTAGAAGTTTAAGAAAAATTGAAAAATATTCATCATACCCTCTCCCCTTTCCCCCCTCTTCTAACGTTTACCCCCTCTCCACATATTGGAAAATAACAGCTCGCTCAATGATTAGTTAAACCCCCTCCTCCCCAATCAGAAGGAAAAACTATAAATAAGAAATAACAAATATAAATAATGCTGTGAAGCGGGAAAGAATAGGAGTTACGGATAATTATTAAGTGAAGCGTTCCAACTGGTGAAACGATGAAATCAGTTCAACCGTTCAAAA